TTTCCTATGGGCTGGGGAGGTATCTGGAAACTTGAAAGGAAAAGAAAAATTGTATGCTCTTCAGAAGGATTTCATTGTATTAACCAGACTGGAACTAGGATCCTCTTGATTTTACTTCCTAAGTGCCAGGAGCATAGACCTATGCCATTATGCCTGGCTTCTGACACTTTTAATCATTCAAATTAAACAAAATCAATTCTTCATCTATCCAATTTACAGATGTATAAGCTACAACCTAAGAATTTAGTGACTTGCCTGTGACCACACAGCTATAATAAGTAGAGAAATAGGCATTGAAGGGTATATAAGCTCTTAGTCCTTACTCTCTAGCATGTTAGAATAGAGGTATTACTATAAAAAAAAAAATTCCTGAGGGCTGGAGAGATAGCTCAGCGGTTAAGAACATTGGTTGTTCTTGCAGAAAACCCAGCTTTGAATCCCAGTACCCACATGGCAGCTAACAACTGTCTGTAACTCCAGTCCCAGGGGATCCAACAGCCTCTTCTGCCCTATGACGGGCATTGCACAACATGGGTGCACTTACCTACATGCAGGTAATACACGAATACACATAAAATTAAAAAAGTAAATAAAATTTTTTAAAAAATTCCTGGATATACAAGCTCCAAATAACTCATTTGATAATAAACATCTAAATCATTAGGATTTATATTCTTTTAAATGACTGTCTTTATTTTTATAAAGTAAAGTGCTGTGTTTTTGTTGTTTTTTGTTTTGAGACAGAATATGACATTGTAGTCTTAGCTGGTCTTGAACTCATTGCTCTCTCCTTGCCTCAGCCTCTTGAGGGCTGGCATTATAGGTGTGAGCCAACTGGCCTGACTTTAAAGTGTTTCCTAAGTGGTGAATTTATTTAATTAATAGCTCCCTTCTCATTTTCCATGTGTATGTGTGTGTATCTGTGTTTGTATCTGTCTGGGCTCACATGTATGTGTAGGTGTGGATGTACCTGTGAGCATGTGCTTGTGGAGGTTCAGGGTTGATGTAGATCAGTTGCTCTTCTACTTTATTCTCCCCTCTCCCATCCCCTTTCCTACTCTTCTGTTTTTGAGGCAGTCTGTCCATCAGATCCAGAGCTTGCATAGCAAGCCAACTTGCTATGCAGATCCCATGTCTCCGCCTGCCTACACTGGAATTATGGGTGGGTTGCCATGCATGTGGGTTCTGGGGATCTGATCTCTTGTCCACTTGCTTGTGGGTCAAGTACTCTTAACTGCTGAACCAGCTCCGTAATCCTGTTTTGTTTTGTTTGTTTGTTTGTTTTTGTTTAAAAGAGCAAGTTTGGACTTGTAAATATATACAGAGAAATATAAAGTAAGAAAAATAAATTTCATAAATCCTTAATGATGGAATTGTTTTTCTCAGGATGGAATAAGTCTAGCATATTGGGGATGACAAGCTGAAGAAACCTAGTAGTGTCAATATGGTAACAAATTGCCTGCTTTAGAACACATGTAGGATTGTACAGATAGCAGTGCCTTTTTGCTGTCAGATTTTTTTCTTATCTTATTCTCTCCCATTTTAGTTGTATAGTCATTTGTTTGTAAACTTCCTATTTTACCTTCTTCATTTGAGGGAAAGTATGTCCCTATAGTCAGTAAAAATGTTTTGAACTGAATGACCTTCATATTGTTTTTGTTTTGTGGCAGTTTTGCCCTAGATTCTGTGAGTTGGATTAAATTAATTAGTACATATAGAAAACTTCAATTGTACGCTGCTTATATGGACAGAAAAATGACTTTCTAATTCAAGATAATAGGTTTTCCTTCTGAAATGAAAGAGAAGCATTATTATTGTGTTTTAGTCATACATTACCATTCTACTTTGTACTCATAACCCTTTTTGTGTTTTGTAGGCTGTGACAGTGAGAAACTCTATGGCTAAGTCTTTATATAGTGCTCTGTTTGACTGGATAGTTTTTCGTATTAATCATGCACTTCTGAATAGCAAAGATTTGGAAGATGATACCAAGGTAAAGATCTACTGGATTATAGTGTGTTTTTCCTGGAAACTGTTTAACAAATGGACTAATACTTGAAATTTTAAAGCATAGAGTTATATAGAATAGAATCTTTTACTTCTGTCATTTATTTCCCTATCCAGGTGACTTTGTCATTTGTCTTTCCAAACTTTTTTTTCTATGTTTACATGCCAAAGATCTGCATAGGAGTTGCATTTTAAAAATAGAAATAGAATCAAGCTTTATTGTTGCAGACACTTATTTTTATATAAGATCTCTTGAAATAGATTCGCCTATAAATAAATGAATACTTAATTAAAATTTTTTTGGCTTATTCTATGTGTATGAATGTTTTGCCTGCATGTATGTAAGTGCACCCATGTCATGTAGTTCCCGCAGAAGAGGATGTTGGATCCCCTGGAAGTGGAGTTACAGAGGGTTGTTAGCAACCACGGGGGGTGGGGGGGTGCATTACGAATTGAACTGGGTCCTCAGCAAAAGCAGCTAGTGTTCTTAGCCACTGAGCCATCTCTCCAGTTCCTTCACTTTTAAATTTATTTTACAATACAAAAATGTTCACACATATAATCCATTTAAGTTGGGTTTGGTTTTTTTTTTTTGTCTTTTTGAGACAGGGTCTCCTTGTAGCCCCCAGCTGTCCTGGAACTCAGTATGTAGACCAGGCTGGCCTTGAACTCACAAAGATCCCCCTGCCTTTGCTGGGAGTAAAGGCGTGTGCCACCACACCCGGCCCAGTTAAGTGTAATTTATCTGAACCAAAAATATGTCCAAATTTTAACATGAAATTTCTGCATCACAGTATCAAATGTACAAAGTACACACTAAGTGACTGATTATTTTAATTTGAGAAAGCAAAGACATCCTTAAACTCAAAAGTTCTTGAGCTCTGTTAGGGAATGGAAACAACAGCTATGAGAAAATTAAAAGGTAACCTAAGTAAAGGACCCAGCAGAACAAAATACCCCTGGCAAGGAAAAATGCAATTCTTCCTCATTTGACTTCAATTACTATAAATGGAATTCTATTTTATAAAAAAAAAGTTTAAAGATTGTCATTATTTTTAGTGTGTGTGTGTGTGTGTGTTTGTGTGTGCACACGCGTGTATGTGGGTTTGTGTACTTGAAGGCAGTTGCCCACAGAAGCCAAAGGCATCATGTCTTCTGGAACTGGAGTTATAAGCAGTTGTGAGTTGCCATGTGAGTGCTGGGAACCAAACTCAGCAAGAGCAGTACCTACTCTTGCAGACTGAGCTATCTCTTCTGCCCAGAATTCTATTTTGAGGACTAAATTAATGGGCAGGTGAGATGACTCAGCAGTTAAAGGCACTTGACACCAAACCTAACAAACTGAGTTTGAATCCCAAAATTCACATGGTGAAAAGAACCAACGGTGGAAAGAACCAATTCCCATAAGTTGTTCTCTCACCCCCCGCTCACCCCCCATCCCCTCATCAGACTTTAGCTGCTTGAGTAGATAAATGTCTACTTTCTTATTTCTGGATGTTTGATTTCTAGGAGTTATCTTTGTAATGTTTATAAAGAATGACTCAGATTCAGCTCTAATATCTGTCTATAAACACTGTTACTATTTGTGATGCTTAATATTGACTGTCAGCTTGAGAAGATAAAGAATCATCTGGGAGACAAACTTCTGGGAGTACCTGTGTGAGCATTTCCATAGAGCTTTAACTTGGGGAGATGCACCTTGATTGTGAACTGGGGGGTTATGAATTCTAGAATGAATACAATGCAGAAAGGGAACCAAACACTAGAATTCTTTCTGCTTTCTGACTACAAGTACAATGTGACCAGCTGCCTCAAGCTCTTACCACCATGACTTCACAACCAGGAAGGGCTATACACTTGAAATACAAGCCAAAATAAACCTACCTTAAATTGATTGTCACATATTTGTCATAGCAATCATTCATACCACCTCCCCTTCCCGCTTCTGTCTTTTCTTTGTTCAGACAGATCTATATATCCCAGGCAGGTTTCCCGCTCCCAATCCTTATACATTAGCCTCCCAAGCACTGGGATTATAGCTGAAGTACAATTGGCATGACAATTTTAATTAAATGGAAAAAGTTCTTCCCTGCTGCTAAGAGATACAGTAAGCAAAGTAATGTAATGAATACAAGAGATGTTTTGAAAAATGTACCAAGAGTATTTTATGTGATTAATTCTGGTTACTGAATCTAGACCCTTAAGAAGAAATATGAAAATAATGCCCTTAAGAAATAAATTGATTGATAATTAAGAGTATAATGTTATAGATACAGGATTACATGAAATATGAAAAATTAATATAAGAGCAATTTTACATTTAAGATAGTAGGATTAAACAATAAAGATGACATTTCTCATTTAAAAGGGAAATTGGGTCATAGAGCAATTGAGAAAACTAAAACGGAAAATTAAAATAGCAATGAATAAAGCTATATATATCTATATATATAATCTGTCAGATATTGAATATATGTCGCATTAAAATATTATAGAATCTGTCACATTAAAAAAAGTTGCAGAGTTTGGTGTGGTGGCACACACTTAATAATTCTAGCAGTCAGGAATAAGAATCAAGAGAATCACCAGTTCAGGGCTATAAAGCAAGACCCTGTTTCAAAAGAAGAAGCAAACAAAGAGTTCTGATTAGGGGCTATAAAAAAAAAATACCCAAAAGCCTAAACATAAAAATTTGAATTCCAAAAGCATAATGCTAAATATTTTATATTCTTAGACTAGAAGACACCTTCCTACTTAAGTAAATAAATAAAATAAAATAAATCTAAAAGAAGAAAAAAATGACAGAAGTATCTGCACAAAAATTTAAAACATAACATAAACAAATATTAAAAGTCAAGTAACTAAGACAGAAAACATTTGCAATATGCAACAAACTAAATCTCTGCAACATGTGCAATAGCTCCTAAAAAGGAAAATGGGAAAGAAAATCAAATAAAACTATGTAAATAAATACAGAGAAATAAGACTGAGAAAACATAAGCCATTCAACTTTTATTACAAAAAAATAGCCAAAAAAGAAGGAATAGTTCCTTTTATTACATTAGAAAATAAAGGTAATGATAAATTTCCTATATGAGTAAATGTAGAGAAGCCAGAATTACACACAGGTTAAAGTACACAGTCCTTCCCAGAAAGCAGTTTAAGCAATAGCTACCAAATTCTTGCATACATACACATAAAAAAATTTAGTATACACATAAAATAAAAATAAATAAAAATAAAAGTGAAGATAATTTAAAAAATTTTAATATTGAAAGTACAAATTCTATATTAAGTTTAAATTACCTACCCAAAGACATACATGAGCTGGTACAAACTATTTTTTTCTCTACCACTAGCTTTTACTCTAAAGATAACATGTGTGACATACTGTATAAAATAAAATAGGATTGGATTCAGAAAAGTTCTGTTTTAATTTCAATTTGTAGTGCTGAAAAAAGATTACTATGGTCGATTTGCATGTGTGCACACAAGTATACTGTAGTTGGTAGGGTGAGTTGCTGTTTCCCTCAGCTCTCTCACCCCTCTCCCGTATTTTCATCTCTATCAGTTGATGGTCAGTTATTTAAAAAGACAAGTAAAATGAAAAACTCTTAAATACAGGTATAAATTGTGAAATTATTACCACTGTAACGGAAAAATATAGTTCACTCTGATCTCATCCAAAAATTTTATTTTTTTTTGGTCGTTTTGAGGCAGGGTCTCCCTGTAGCCCCAGCTGTCCTGGAACTCACTGTATAGATGAGGCTGGCCTTGAACTCACCGAGATCTGCCTGCCTCTGCCTCCTAAGTGCTGGGACTACAGGCATGCCCCCCCCCGTGTTTTTTTTTTTTTTTTTTTAATTTAGTTACCACATAATTAGAAGATTTTATGGCATCTTTAACATATTCAATAACAATTTCCAGAGCATAGATGCATTTCTTTCAAAAGTCAGATTGTTTTTAACTACCGAGCCATCTCTCCAATCCCATCATCCAAATATTTTAAAATGATTTGTCATCTGTTGAAAGTCAGTTTTTCTAAAAAGCCAGCTTTTCCTAAATCCAGTGATTAATAATATCAATGTATTTTAAAAATAAATATTTCTAATGAATTTTATGAGTGTCATTTGCAGATATGTTTGAAAAGTTCAGAGAAGTAAAATATTGATTGATTGTGGTATATTTTGTTTGAATACTGGCCAGAACTAATCCCCTCTCTAATGTTGCAAAAGAGTGTTTATTATTTATAATATGGACATTATAGTGAGTTTGAACCTTGTTCTTACCTAAATTTTCTCCTGTTTTACAGACTTTTTCCATTGGTGTTCTTGATATTTTTGGGTTTGAAGATTATGAAAACAATAGCTTTGAACAGTTCTGTATTAATTTTGCTAATGAACGTTTACAGCACTACTTTAATCAGCATATTTTCAAGTTGGAGCAAGTGAGTACCTAAATATGTTATGTCTGCTTTCCTGCCCATATGTTGAATTTTACTGATAACAATTTTAAGTCTTATATTTCAGTTCAGATTATATGGTGTTCATAGCATTATAAGGAAGTGACAAAGCCATGTCCACAGGGATTTCTTTCTTTTGTAAATAGTTGCTAGATGTGTTGCTAATATGTGTGTGTGTTAATGTGCATTCTTGAATGAAGAGTGTGTTTGGGGGTTTTGTTATGAGTGTTGGATTTTTGTTGATCCTCTGAGCTTTGTCACTATATTTAATCCTTGTTTAATTGCTCATGGATTGGAAGAATTAATATTATGAAAATGACCATCCTACCAAAAGCCATTTATAGATTCAATGCAATGTATAAATCCTATAAGACATAGAATTGAATGAGGTTTTAACCTTTAAAAAAGATCTCCATTTCATTTTAAAATACACTGTTTTGTACAGAAAAACTCATTTTTAATGCTACTAACACTTAGATGTTTGCACATCCTTTGATAGTGGGCCTCTAATCTCTATGTATCTGATTATTACTAGTCACAGTCAGTTACACTGGGATCCTTGGCACCCAAGTATGGATATAAAGTCATCAGGTAGATTTCATTGGTAATGTTTTTCACCTCTACTAATTAGCATGAAGCAAATTTTTATGCTGCTTCCTCAACTATAACTCTTTTATTTGTTGATTTTGTGTTTGTGTGTATCATACAGATCATCCCAAACAATCTTATTCATCTATATACCCACTTCCCAAATGGCACCCTCCCATAGCCTCCCCCACCACTGGAGCCCATATACTCTGTCATCCCTGTTACTGTCCACTGTGTTGTTGGTGTGCCCAGCCATTCCCCAGTGCTTGTCCATCCTCTGAATCTAGTCAGCCTATCTAGAGTTCCTTGTTTTAGGAACATGAGTCTTCCTCATCTAGCAGCAATCAGTTGCCAATATTCCTTTAGATAAAATTGGGGTCTGCTGTTCATTTTCCCAGTTTTACGTTGGTTTACTGTCTGGGAGTCTCTTGGGCCAACCTGGCCAACAACTCAAAGGAAAGTATCTCCTATCTGGCATTGTTTCTTGTTATGTAGCCTTTAGCCATACACATGGACTCTTAAAAAATTATATTGACCCCATTAATCTTTTGTTATACTTTACTTTTTTTTGATTCTTGACCTTGTTTCCTGGGCAGTTGATGTTTGGTTTAGAAAATCTTTTCCTACACCTATGGCTTGTAGGTTATTGCCAGTGTTTTCTTCTAACAGCTTTAGAGTTTCAGGCTTCACATTGAGGCCTTTCATCCATTTGGAGTAGACTTTTATGCAAGGTGAAAGATAGGGGTTTAGTTTCATTCTTCTCTAGGTGAAGATCCAGTTTTGCCAGCACCATTTGCTGAACATGCTGTCTTTCCTCCGTGAGTGTTCTTGGCCCCTTTGTCAAATATCAGGTGGCTGAAACTGCATGTACTCGTATTTGGGTGCAAAGGCTACAGACTTTTGTAGATTAATTTTGTAACCTGCCACTTACTGAATGTGTTAATTTCTAGGCTTTTCTGGTGGAATTTTTGGCATCTCATATATATAATACATCGTCTGCCAAAAGGGATGCTTTGAGCTCTTCTTTTCCAATTATTACTCGTTTAATTTCCTTCTCTTTTCTTATTGCTTTTGCAAGAGTTTCAAGCACTGTGTTGTAAAGGAGTGGAGATAGTGGACAGCCTTGTCTGGTTCCTGATTTCATTGGGAATGCTTCCAGTTTTTCTCCATTTAGAATGATGTTGGCTGTGGGTTTGTTGCATATGGCTTTCATTATGTTGAGGTATTTTTCTTCCAGTCCAACTCCCTCTAGGACTTTGAACATAAATGCATTTTGAATTTTGTCAAATGCCTTTTCTGCATTTATTGAAATCACCATGTGGTTCTTGTTTTTGAGCTCATTTATATGATTTATGATGTTTATTGACTTAGGTATATTTAGCCATCTCTGCATCTCTGGAATAAAGCCGATTTTGTCATGGTGGATGATCCTTTTGATGTGTCTGTATGTGGTTTGATCTTTACCTGGCTTTGGTATTAGAGTGATGCTGGCTTCATAGAAGGAGTTTGGAAGTTCTCCCTCCATTTCTGTGTTTTTGAATAAATTAAGTAGTATTGGGTGTAGATCTTCTTTAAATATCTGGTAGAATTCTGCCGTAAATCCATTTGGTCCTGGGCTTTTTTTAGTTGGGAGGTTTTGTATTGCTGTTTTAATTTCCTTATGTGTTATGTGTCTGTTTAAGCTGTTAATCTGCTTTTGGTTTAGTTTTGGTGGTTCCCATGCTTTTAGATACCTGTCCATTTCTTTTAGGTTTTCAAATTTAGTAGCATATAGGTTTTGTTCTGTATCTTTCTGGTGTCTGTTGTGATGTTTCCTCTTTCATCTCTGATTTTGTTGATTTGGAGGTGCTCTTTCTTTCTTTTGGTTAATTGGGCTAGCGGTCTGTCAGTCTTGTTTATCTTTTCAAAGAACCAGCTCTTGGAATTGAAAGAACTAGCTTTTGGTTCTTTGTATTGTTTTCTTTGTTTCTATTTCATTAATTTCTGCTCTGATTTTTGTTATTTCTTCTTGTTTGCTGGGTTTGGGTTTCATTTGTTGAGTTGCAGTGTTAATATTTATTTGTGTTCTTTCCGATTTTTTAATGTAGGCACTTAGAGCTATAAACTTCCCTCTAAGAACTACTTTCAATGTATACCAGAGGTTTTCTGTGTTGTATTGTCCTTTGCATTAATTTCCAGGAATACTTTTATTTATTTCTTGATTTCTCCTTTGACCCATTCATCGTTCTGGAGTGTGTTGTTTAATCTCCATGTTTTCATGTAGTTACTAGGGTTTCTTCTGGTGTTGATTGTAAGCTTTATTGCATTGTGGTCTGATAGAATGCATGGAATTATTTCAGTCTTTTTGTATTTGTAGAGATTTGTTTTGTGCCCCAGGGAGAAGGTTCCATGGGGCGATGAATAGAAAGTATATCCTTTGGTGCTTGGGTGGAATATTTGGTAGTTGTCTGTTAGGTCCATTTGATATATGGTATTGTTTAATTCAGATGTCTCTCTGTTAAGTCTCTGGCCTGTTGACCTATCTAATGGATGGAGTGGGGTATTGAAGTCCCCTACTATTAATGAGTTGGGATTAATCTGGATCTTAAAGTCCTGTAGTACTGTTTTTACGAAGTTGGGTGCACCAGAGTTTGAATATATGTTCATGATTGTAATACCTTTTTGGTCTATTCCTTTGATCAGAATGAAGTGGGCCTCTTTATCTCTTCTGATTAATTTTAGTTTGAAGTCTATTTTATCAGATATTGTAATTGCATTGCCTGCTTTTTTCTTAGTAGTTTTCACTTGATATATTTTTTTCCATCCTTTCGCCTTAAGGTAGTGCCTGTCCTTGAAAGTGAGATGAGTTTCTTGCAGACAACAAAAAGATGGGTTTTGTTTCTTAATCCATTCACCTAATCTGTGTCTTTTGACTGGGGAGTTCAGACTGTTAATATTTAAAGTTAATGAAAGATGTTTATTGAATCCTGTCATTTTTATTTCTGTTCACATTGGTATAGCTGTACATTTCCACAGTTACAGTTTCATTGAGCTTCTTTCTATAACCCCTTGTGTATAGTTGTTCTTTTCTTCAGCTCTTTGTGTTGCTTCAAGAACTCTCTGAAGGGCTGGTTTTCTGGATATGAATTCTTTCAGCCTATTTATGTCATGGAAGATTTTTCTTTCCCCTTTGAGTATAATAGATGTTTTTTCTGGGTAAAGTAATCAAGGTGGGCATCTTGTGGTTATTTAGAACTGGAAATACTTAGGTCTAGGCTTTTCTGGCTTTCATAGTTTGCACTGAAAAGTCAGCTGTAATCCTGATGGATTTTCCTTTGTTATTTTGATCTTTTGCAGCTTTCAGTATTCTCTCTTTGTTCTGTACGTTTAGTGTTTTTACTATGACATGCCCCGTGGAGAGTTTCTTTTCTGGTCCTGTCTGTTTGGTGTTCTATATGCTTCTTGTATTTGTATGGGCATGTCTTTCTTTAATTTTGGGAAATTTTCTTCTGCAATCCTGTTGAAGATCTTGTCCACAACATTGTCTTGAGATTCTTCTCTTTCCTGTATGCTTATGATTTGTAAGTTTGGTATTTTTATGGTATCGCACAATTCCTGCATATTCCATTCTTGTATTTTCTTAAAATTTTTAACACGTTTGTGTTTTAATTTGCTGAGCTATCTCACGGCTCACCTAAGATTTATTTTATTTTTTTATTTAAAAAAATTATATTAAGCTTGTACCATTGAGGCCTGTTTCTGTCTTAGCTCTAAGCATACTTTTTTTTTTCACCTAAAGCCTGTTTACATACTAAATAATAGGCTTAACCACTTGGATGACGCTTAAAGTTTTAAACATGACACTTTTTATTACACATTTATTTATTTGTGTGTGGGTATTCCTGTGCCATGACATGTGCAGAGGCCAGAGGGCAGTTTATAGGAGTTGGTTCTCTCCTGCAATCACACTCAGGCCAATTAACATAAGCATGGAAGAAAGAGTGAGTTCTGAGTCAGGATAGTATCAGGGGTCATGTGGTTTGTACCACATGAACTCTCATGAGACCAACTGAAAGTCTTCTAATAGGAAAATACGTTTCCTGTTACAATTTATAATGTTTCCTTTTACTTTCTTTTGTTGCCTTGAATTATCCTTCACATTCATCAATGAATTCATCAAGTCATTAAAAACTGAAGCACACTCATATGTCAATCATTGTGCCTGAGCAATGAAGCTAGAAAATTTGAAGTCTAGGAATGTTATTTGAGGAGTTTTTATCTAGCAGGTTTTTGTTTTCATTCTACACTGGTGGTATCAGACTAGAAAATTCTAACATTTCCAAAAAAGAAAAGGAACAACAACTACAAAAACCAACCAAAGCAGAATGAACCGTAAGATACTGGGTTTCAGGCTAGAA